TGAAGTAAGATGACTATAATGACGCAAGAGCCTTCCAAGCCCACTGTACCTACCCCCGAACCCAGTCTCTGGCACGAGTGTTGTTCACGGACAGTCACTGAAGGAGTTTGAACAGGGAGGTGAAAATAAATTGAATGGGAAAACAAGGGAGGCCAGAAGAGCAACTGGAAGCCTGCTGTAGTGGTCCAGGCAGGGGTGGGGCTAACTCTGGAGGTGGGCTTGGCAGGCCCTGCTGTTCAGTACTTGGCCGTGGAGGTGAAGAGCAGCGCTGGTCAATGCTGATGCCCACATTTCTGAGCCAGGCAACTCGGTGGTCCGTTCGCCGAGAGAGCAAGGTGCAGGTCCCGAGTGCAGATGTAGACACGAAGAGCTTTATCAAGTCTGAGTCTGGAGTTTACATCAGAGGTCCAGACTAGAGACAAAAATTTGAGCGTCATTGAGCTAAGAGTGAAATGTACAGGCGTGGGAGTGGACCTCTTGTGGAGGGGAGAGGAGGGTCTTGGGAAAATCTCCACGTTTAAGGCATAGGCAGAAGAGGTGCCCACGTGGAAAGCCAGGAACGGGCCGTCAGAGAAGCAGGAAGGACTCAACGCTTTCACAGAGTGAAGCATTTGGCTCTTGAATGTGTTATAAAAAATGTAGAATCATAATTTATAACCCACAGTAGAGTTGCCAATTTTTATCGTTATGTGAGAGGTTTTTAAGATGTGTATCAACATTCACTGATGGCAGATTATAAGAGCTATTTATCACTATTTTACTCTCTGGGCTGTGCTTAACTCATGTAATTTTTAAAATGCATTGATCTCTCTCCCACTGTTTTCCCTTGCGATGTAGTTGCTGGGTGTCCCTAGAAGGTGCGAGGGCCTGGAAAAAGCTGATGAAACAGCCCTCATATGTTGTACCCCCAGAGTGTTCTCTTGATTAAAGTAAAGACATTTTATGCCCCAGTTATGCTTATCCCATCTGGATGTGACTTTCCATCCAGTTGGGCTGATCTCAACTCTGGCCTCCCCCTCCTTCCCCAAATCAATTTGCTGGTCTTTGTGATGCCTTGCGTAGCTGTATGTGCTATATACCTGAAGATTCTCCATACTGCCTTGCAAGCAGGCACTGTTAATCAGCTCCATTTTGTAGACATGGAAGCACACAGAGAGGAGGAGCGGTCTGTGCTTTACCTCAGGGGCTCCCCAGATTGCCCATTGTCTAGTCCACTTGGGCTGCTGTAACAGCTATAGACCACAGTTCTGGAGTCTGGGAAGTCCAAGGTCAAGGCACCAGCAGATACCGTGTCTGCCGAAAACCTGCCTCCTAGTTCATAGACAGCTGTCTTCTCACTGTCCTCACATGGCAGAAGAGGCAAGGGATCGCTCTGGGGCCTATTTTATAAGGGCGCTAATCTTATTCATGAGGACTCCACGCTCATGACCTAATCACCTCCCGCTGCCCCACCACACTGGGGGTTAGGATTTCAACATGTACAGGTGGGGCACAAACGTTCAGACTGTAACACCCACTCCTCAGAATCACCAGGAAAGCTTTGGAACACTATTCTTGGTTCCCAGATGGTTAATGTGGCCCACCCAAGGGCTGGTAATATTTGGAAAGCACTGCCCCTCTCCACACTAGATTTGGATATGTTGGTAGAAAAATAACAATAATGAGGACTTTCTGAGTATCTAAATCAGGGGTCAGAAAAGTTACTTTGTAAAGGGCCGGAAAGTAAATATTTTCAGCTTTGCAGGCCACATGGTCTTTGTTGCAGCTGCTCAACTCTACCATTGTATTGTGAAAGCAGCTGTAAACAATAGCTAAACAAGTAGATATGGCTGGATTTGAACCACAGGGCCATAGTTTACCTCCTCTGATCTAGATAATTAGTTTTGTGCATGACGATCAGATAAGCAATTGAATTTGCCACTCTCCAGGGCATATTTGAACTTGTGTAAGAATATACTACAGGCAGATACAGTCCATTCAAGATGTATCAGAGCAGAATTGTATCCAGCCACTTGTACAAAGACCTCTAAGACATTAGCTTGAACAAATTAGAGGTGAATATTTCTCTTTTGTTTAAAAAAAAAAAGTTTTGAATCAATAGTCTAGTATTTGGTGTGGTGACTCCATAATGTCATCAGAGACCCATGGTCCTTCTAGCGTTCTACTTCCATTCTCAAGATCGCCTCATGATCAAAAAATGACTGCTGGAGCTCCCGCCTTCACATCTGTGTTTGAGAAAGAAAGAAAAAGACAGAGAGAAGAGTAAAAAGACACTTGTCAGCTGAGTCAGCTCTCTCCTAAGAGCTTTCTTACATCTCATTAGCCACTCTTATCTGCAAGGGACACAGGAAAATGCAGTTAAAATTTTTTTTGCTTTCTGAACACATTGCTATCCCCAGAAATATTGGGGGGAAATGGATACTGAGTGGGCAACTAGCACTTGCTGTGACATGGGAGGACCCAAAGAATGCCCCAAATGAGCTGCATTAAAGTCCCGTGAGCTCTGCTGCATTTATTTGCTAACTGATCCATCATGTCTCAGTCTCTGGAGGTTGCATGCCTGAAGTCCCTCTTCTCCACAACTAGCCAGGCCTTTCCAGATGCTTCTGGGGTCTAATGTATCCTTCACTGTTATCAAGCAAATCCTTGCATAATTGTGTTAGCAGTCCTATTAGTCGTCATACTACTGCTTGAACACCTAGTGCCAAGAAACCTTTTGAGACATACCTTTTCCTCTCTGGGCAGCTTTGGCTGCTATAAAGTTCTTTCCTAATGAAATCTGCCTTTCTCTAGTTTCTATCTGCTGGAAGTTTGTCTCCTGGAATCATCCAGGACATAACATCTTGGTCTTTCCTCTTCCTCATAGCCTTCCCAGGAATTCAGAGATCCCTACTTTCTCCATCTTGACACTCAGGGTATCATTCTCCAATGTCTTCCATCTTCCTTCTGATAATCTGTTTGCAAATCAGCTCCTAGGACCTGTGCTTCTAAACTTTAAAGTGTGTATGAGCCACTGGGGGTCTGCTTAAAATGCAGATTCTGAATCAGTGCACCTGGGTGGAGCCCGAGGTGTTGCATTTCTACCATCTGACCACGTGATGCCAATGCTTCTGGTCTGTGGACCACACTGAGTAGCAAGTGATCTGGGCCTTTCTGAACCTACTTCAGTTCATCTTTTAACAGGGGGCAACCAAAACCTAACTAAGTTGGTGTGGTCGATTTAGAATAGAGCAAGACTTGTCAACCTCTTTATTCTAGAAGTTAAACTGTACCTTTTAATGAGGTCTAAATAGTACATAGGCTTTTTTGGTGGCCCTTTCACATTATTCACTTAGCTTGAATTTACTAAAATCCGTAAGTCTTTGTCCCACAGGCCATTGCTGTGCCGTATCTCCCCCACCTTATACTTACAGTGTTGGCTTTTTGGATTATATTGTAAAATCTGACACTGATCTTTTAAAATTTCATCATGTTGCATTAAACTCGTTCCTTAGGCCAGTTGAGATCACTTGATGTCTGTCATTCAGTATATTTACTGTCTCTTTGTTAGAAGCTTGGGGGCTTCTAACAAACTTGACAGGCCTCTGTTTCTCCATCTAATTCCACCGGCAACTTCCATCCATTGACTGGAATTCTTTGGTTTAAATTATCCTTCCTTCATCATGTTCACAAGAATATTGTGAGAGACGTTGATGGTTGCCTTACCAAAGTTCAAATGCATGATGTCTGCATTTGGGGATACAGGGTGGTTTTTATGTAGAGGCAGAATTTACCATTCACATTAGAGATGCCTGCTTTTATGGTTAAAGAGGTTTTAAGATGTGTATTGACATTCGCTGATTGCAGATTACAATAGCTATTTATCATCAGAGACTTCACTCTCTGGGTTATTCTTTTTTTTTTTTTTTTTTTTTTTTTTTCGGTATGCGGGCCTCTCACTGTTGTGGCCTCTCCCGTGGCGGAGCACAGGCTCCAGACGCGCAGGCCCAGCGGCCATGGCTCACGGGCCCAGCCGCTCCGTGGCATGTGGGATCTTCCCGGACCGGGGCACGAACCCGTGTCCCCTGCATCGGCAGGCGGACTCTCAACCACTGTGCCACCAGGGAAGCCCTCTCTGGGTTATTCTTAACTCACGTAATTTTTTAAAAATGCATTGATCTCTCTCTCAGTTCTCTGTTTTGCCTTGAGACGTAGCTGCTGTGTGTCCCTGGAAGGTGTGAGGGCCTGTAAAAAAAAAAAAGCAGGTGAAAGAGCCCTTACATTTTATATCCCTAGAACGTTCTCTTGAGAGTCACATCTTGATTATAATAAAGAAGTTTCATGCCCCAAGTGTGTTCATCCATCTTGATGTGACCTTCCATCCAGTTGGGCTGATCTCAGTTCTGGCTCCCTCCCTCCCTCCCTCCCTCCCTCCCTCCCTCCTTCCCTCCTTCCCTCCTTCCTTCCCTCCCGAGATTGACCCCGCCCCCTGTGCGTGCTAGTCTGTGTGATCCCCGGCACAGCCGCATGGCCCCGCCCCCTGTGCGTGCTAGTCTGTGTGATCCCCGGCACAGCCGCATGGCTTCTGTGTCTGGCTGTTCTCTGCACCACCTTGGGAGCAGGTGCTGGTAGCTCCATTTTACAGGAGAGGAAGCTGGCCAGCGAGGATGAATGGCCTCCCCCGCAATCCGTCACCATTACAGTATGCATGTGACAAAAGTATGAAAAATGTGTCTCTAAGATTCATTGAGCTGCTGCTTTCTGCTGATACTGGGAAACTGATGTTCATGAATATGCAGCCTGCCTGATGGAGTCATTCTCTCGTGTACCCATTGGTACGCTCAGTACACTGAGTCCCTCCTCCGTGCCGGCGCTGGGCCTCCAGTGACACGGGAGGTGGGGTGTGGCCCTGCTCTTGCAGAGCTGGTTTTCCTGGGGGGAGCGTTGCCAGAATCCCACCCCTTTGTAATGAGAGCTTTAAGAGACATTTACATTTTCTTGCTCTTTCCTTTTCTCGAAAGGTCTACATCCGGATAAAAGACAATGAGTGGAACGTCTATCGGCGGTACACGGAGTTCAGGAGTTTGCACCACAAGTTACAGAACAAGTACCCTCAAGTGAGGGCCTACAACTTCCCACCCAAAAAGGCCATTGGAAATAAGGTAGGTACCATCACTGCCCGGGGCCAGGCAACTCTCCAACTGGTGCCTCTGTCTTCTCCTTCCATTGGTGATTTAAACGTATGTGCTCCTTTGTTTAACTCAAAAAGTTGGCTAATATGAGAAAAAACAGGAATGAAGAAAACAGTCACCCATCATTCCGCCCACCTAAAGACAATCGCATTATGTTTCGTCTATGTCCGTCCTCTCATTTCTCTAAGGCAGGGGCTGTTCTGTTAAAAGGCCAGAGAGTAGATATTTTGGCTTTGCGCACCGTACCATTTCAGCCAAAAATACCCAGCTCTGCCATCGTGGCAGCAGCTGCAGACAGCATGGATGCACAGGGGTGCGTCCGTGTGCCAGTAAAACTTTACTTTTAAGAAGAGGTGGCAGCTGGACCTGGCCTGTGGGGCATAGTTTGCCAGCTCCTATTCTGAACCAAAAAAAAAAAATGTTTTCTAGTTTTTATCCATGGTTGTCATGATATTTATTTGGACTTAAGAATATGGAGTTATTTCCCTGGCAGGGCTTTCTCAGAGGAGCTCCTTTTATTATTACTACCTCATGAAGTTTAGTCATTGATAATGACCTAATTTGTTTCTGTGTATTCTCCAAATGCCCTGGAGAAAGGAGGCGCTTGCCCCGCGCATGCTTGCTGGTCGATTAGCGTTCATTCATTCATCCAGCCGGCATTTACTGAGCACCAGTTAAGTGTCACAGTGCAAGGGGCACCGAAGATGACAGCCGAGCCGGGCGTCAGGCCCCATTGTGTTGTCTGCCCCAGCCGGTCAGCATCGTTCTGTCCTCCATCACGTTTGCAGCCGTTCTCCATCATGGCTGTGCTTTGGATCACTTGGGAAGCTTTAAAAACTCTGAGACCTGGCCACCCCCCAGCCCCATCCTGAGTTCATTGGTCTGGAGTGAGGCCTGGGCACTGAGGGATTTAAAAGCTCTCCAGGTGGCTCCTGGATGCAGCCAAGCTGGAGAACCCCTGGCTTCCTGTCGAGTAGGAAATAGAGACATTTCATCAATTGCAGCGTATTAACTAGCTTGGCAGGGGCAGTCGAATCAGATGAGGTAACGTGGACCCTTCTCAGGGCCTGGGAGGAAACGGGCCTTGGATAGGAGGCATTCCTCTCCTCCTGTGGTTCTCAGAGTGTGGCTCCTGGTCAGCAGCGTGGGCCTCACCTGGAGCTTGTTAGCGATACAGATTCTCAGGCTCCATCCTGCACCTGCTGGAATACAGGCTCTGGGGCTGGGGCCCAGCAGGGTGGGTTAACAAGCTCTCTGGGTGGTGCTGAAGCACAGGAAATGTGGGGACCAAGCGCCATCACATTGACAAAGCTTGTGCAGATTCCATTAGCCATGAATTTCCTAGTTTGTCTCTGGAGGAGGCGCCTTGCCTAGGATTTCCTACAGTCTTTATCATAGAAAACCCAGAGCAAGAGTTTCCATAACCCACTCCGCATGCTTGGAAATTCCAGAGAGAAAACTGTTATTGACCGTTACGTTTATATCTTCAGAGATTTCTGTGTTTAAACCAGATTAGAAACCTGATCACATCAGGGTGTGCTGGAACATAATTTAAACAGTTATAAAGCAGGTTTATCTCAGGCCCAGAATAAACCTGTTGTTCTTTTTTTTTTTTTCTGTTGAAGAAAAGTAGAGTTGAGCCCATAAAAACGGAAGACTTAGAAATTCTATACTTGTTCATAGCAAGGAGTACAATAATTCTTAATGAAAAGAGGTGGGGGGACTATATACTGATTTAATCTAATGACTTGCAGGCTCATACAAACCTTGGGACCCGTCCAGAATGTCTTAAAATGTCACAGAACAAAATTCTACATAACCAGCATGTTATCCCTGTAAGATGTTCTCATTTGCAGAGAGCATTACACGGAAGCAGCCCTTCCACGATACCTGCAGGGAATGCGGTATTGCTGAGGGAATTATACAAGGCTGAACTTGGGACATGTCTGTCTTTCACTGTGTTTTCACTTCCTGTGGCTGCTGTAACAAATTCTCACACATTTAGTGGTCTAAAACAGTTCAGGTTTATTATCTAAAACTAGTCTCTCTGGGCTCCGATTAAGGCGCGGGCAGGGCTGCGCTCCTTCTGGAGGCTCCAGAGGAGTCTTGCCTTTTGCAACTTCTAGAGGCCCTTGGCTTGTGGCCCCCTTTGTCTTCAAAGCCGCAATCACATCACTCTGGTCTCTGCTTCTGTCTAGATAGTAGTCACATCTCCTCTGACTCCTCTTCCTCTAATAAGGACCTTTGTGACCACAGTGCCCTCCCAGCCCCCCGCCCCCGATAATCTATGATCATCTCCTACCTCAAGTTCTGCAAAGTCCCTTTTGCCATGTAAGGTAAGATGCTCTCAGGCTCTGGGATTAGGATGTGGACACCTTTGGGACCCACACTTGCTGAATGATTTCTCTGCAGCCCAAAGGGATGCCCTCCCCATTCCATCTCTCCTCAAGCCTTATAGTTAGGCAACACTTACTAAGACAAGGCAAAGTTGCCAAGAACAACACCAGTCTTAAGTACGTTGGTGTTCGAGGCTCAGGTTTAGTGAGATGAAGCGTAGGCCTGAGGGATAGGAGGGGCTTTCCGGAGTTCCGTGACTTAGAAAGAGTGTGTAGCAGTCCTGTCTCTGCTGTGCCAGGAGCAGGGACCGCGAGGGAGTTTCCCCTCTGAGGTGGGTCACCTGCAGCCCTGCCCCCCGTCCTCCCGTCCCTGTCAATCCGGAACTGACCTACAGCAGCAGTGGCCTTTTCGCCTGTGAAATCTGTATCAATAGGGCACCCAGGACAACCCTATCTGCAAATAAATGAGCTTGGCATTAAGGTACCATCTTGGTGGGTCTGGTGCAGTGATGACCGGCTCGTACACATGCTCTGGCTGGTTCTTAACTAGGTCTTTGGTCCTGCCCCGCATGGTCAGGGGTGGATCTGACAGTTTCCTCTCTTACTCAGGAATCTGACAGCTCAGAGCTGTCCTGGGGTCTCAGCCTCTTTTCTCGTCTGTGCGACCCTTTAGCTTTTAATTGGCTGGTCAGGGTCCGACTGTAGTTTGATTCCCTCCACTTGCCCACACCCCATCCCCCACCAGAGTACACTTTGGCTGATGCCAGGACAGATCTCAGGATCTGTCTGATTTCCAAGGGCAGAATGAGTCAGGGTTCAGGACTTGAGTGCCCAAGAGAGGCCAACGACGAACTCTTCTTTAGAGACCAAGCTTGAGCGGCCACAACTGGGTCTGATTGCTCAGTGTACCTGCTTTGATACCCTGAGGGTAAATTTTCTAGAGAGTTTTGATTCTAAATTGACCCAGAAAAATGTACTACATCAAAATCTTTTCTTTGATTGGATCACTTCACCAGTGAAACGCTTGCCCACTTGAACCATTAAGGCACATTGACACAACATCCTTGGGTGGATTGAGTTCCATGCACCTTGTTGCTCTAAGCCTTGGACCCGTTAAATGATTGACTTCAGAATCCACAGTCTTGGACTGTATTCAAGGACATATTAAACATAGTGTAGCCTTTTAAAATTCATCAGATGAGTATCCTTCTAGCCTGAATTTCTAGATATTTCCCCAGCTTTAGAAGTAAAATGTGATCTTAACCCCAGTTTGAACTTTTAAAAAATGGATTAAATTTACACATTTTATAGTTTCTGGATGCGAAATTTGTCTTCGCCAAATCATTTCTTTTACCTCCATATGCCACGTATGTGTTTAGTTATAAATGGGCAGGGTGCCCAGAGCACTTGCTAAAGATATTTCCATTCTTGCCCTGCCTACAGTCCCTTTCCCTCACTGTAGCCAGAGTGAGGTTTGTATAACGTCAGTCAGATTGTATCACTGTTGATTAAAACCCACCAGCGGCACCAGTTAAATTCAGGACTCTTTGCTGTGGCCTGTGAGGTGTCCCCCAATAGGTCCCCCACTTCCTCCCCTACCTTATCTCGTGTCCCCCTCCTCTCCCTCTACAGACCCAGCCACTCTGACCTCCTAAGACTTCCATGGGATTCTCTGGCCTTTGCACCTGCTGTTCCCTCTGCCTGGAACAGCTTTTCCCCATCTCTGCATGGACAGCTCCTCCAACTTGTGAGGTCTCAGCTTAATTCCACTCCTCAGCACCTTTGTCAATGCCACTCTCTAGCCCGTTACTCTGTTTTCATTTTCTCCCAGCCTCTCCTGGCACGTACCATGAGTGGAAATGATTTATTCGTGTACTTGAGTAGCGTCCATCTCTCTGCCCTGGAATGGAACCTCAGGAAACAGGGCCTGGGTCTGTTTCTGTTCACTGCTCTCTCCAGCTCCTAGTATAGAATCTGACACACCAGAGACACTCGTGGCCTGAATGAATGAATAAATGAACAGAAATTAAATGGAAGTTTCCCTTTTATTTTCTTCTTTACTTCACTGGGTCTTGGCACAAATTCAAAAAAAATCTGAATTCCAAAAGTGAGTGGAATAACTTTCAGGGTATCTTTGGAGGTTGTTCCCACTCCACTTTTGGCTGAATATTTCTTGCAGAATGAGCAAGAGCCTGGCAAGCCTTTGCAGACAGGAGAGCAGGCTGCCTAGCAACCTGAGGATGTGGACTGGAGCTCGCTGTCCAAAAGGATTTCGCTGGCATGAGGGCTTAGGTGGAGGATGTGTTTTTGATGTTGCTACTAAAAGTCTACATTATTGCTCAGTGAGCAAATGAGAATTGAGGGACTGTCGTTCCTTCCTAGGACAATGGAGTCCGTCTCTGGAAGTTCATTTGGCACCAAGGCAAGGCAGATCGCTTTCCCCTGGGCTGCAGATAATTCAACTTGTTGGAGAAATTATGCGTTAAAATTCTCATTAAAAACACATACACCAGTGTGCGGTGGAGGAACCGAGGGGCACCCGCAGAGCCGTGGAAAGCGCCTTTGCAGCTCCCAAGAGGCATAGATTGCAGTGCAGCCCCAGGGATGATGGCAGGACCCCAGCCAGCAGTGGGA